CTAAAATTTTGTGTAAAAGAAAAGACAATCTAAACATTGAATTAAGAAAAAAGTATGATGACTTTTAGATATAAAAAAGGAATTGGAAAATGCTTAAGTACTTTAAATCTACGACCTTAAGGAATTCTTTTGTTTAACAGATTATCGATAGACTTCGCTTCGCTTCAGATTACATTTGAAAAAGAACGATTCTAATTCAAACTGACAAATCAATAAAAGAACTCTAATTTAATGAAAATCACAATCGCAAACTTCAAAGTGCGACGTAAATCATTTTGAATACCGAACAATTTTAAATGCAAAGGTTATTTTAGAGTTTTGCTGTGAATTTTCACAATAACCGCGGGCTGGAGGCGCCGAATGAAAATGTAATTTGTGGTAATCGCGCGTCGGTTGTGGCCTCGGCGGCTTGTCCGCGCCACTACCCCGGCTCGATTCACACTTAACAACAAATGTATTTATATTTTAACGATACAGAATATCATTTAATTCAAAGTACTAGAGGTCCTGCAGTAGTCGAAATTCGACTATAATTAATTGGAATTGTAAGTTTGTACACTATTATGATTGTATTTTATACTTCTATATTCATAAATTTCACCAAGACTACACTATAGAACTACACTATAAAGACAAACAATATTTAATCTATTCCCAATTTGACAGACGTCAAGAACAAAAGTTTGACAATAAATAGTATGCATGCGTGTGTGCGTCAAATACATGGTATGTAGTGTGTGTAATGTTTTCTTTATTGATTTAATGTATCTTTTATGAATTATTTAAAAAAAAAATTAGCATTGTGCACTTCTTTTCTATATTCTCTATAGGTGTAGAAAATTTCATACTCCTCCGTACGTGCAATTTTCGTAAAAAGGGATACAAAGTTTTTTGCTTCACGTATTAATATATAGATAATCTATATTGAATTTTCGAGTCATCAAAAGGGTAAAGTTAAAATGAAACAAACGATTTTGACGCTTGAAAGGCAAACGTGACTAAGCGACGATAACTGCTTTGTACATAAATGATAGGCAATAACCATATTCGATGCGCAAAAAATATATATTTCTAGGTCTATTAAAATCTGTTACAGCTAGATTCGTTAAAATATAATTTTTACAGGTTTTTTAACTTTAAATTAGTCTACTGTAAAGTTCACCCATTGTCGCTTAGTCTCGTTTGCCTTTCAAGCGTCGATATATATCCTATACATCCTAATCTGTGGTTAAATTTTCTTCTTTCAAATACGTATAATAATAACGCATCAAGAAATGGATCTTTTATATTATCGGCCATAAATTTAGATTTAAATAATTTAATGCCCAAATAGTTTAGACTTTTGAGACATAACATAAATATAATTTTAACTAATTTTACATTGCGAATAGTTTATAGTTTTCGTGGTCACGGACGTCCATAACTGGCAATGACAACAAAAGATATTAAACCGTCAAAGTAGTTACAAATAAGTTTACGACTCGCGAAAACATAAATATCTTCTCATCAATTCGAATTAGAAAGTTGTGTTATGCAGTTGAGAATACTCACAATGGGAATGGAAGCGCAGATGACCTATTGGCCTGCGTTATTAGCGTGCTTAGCTTGGAAATATGCAATTACAAACAAAATACCTATAGAGGACTGTGAACCGCAAGGTTTATTAAAATAACGAACATTCTTCATTCCTTTCATGATTCCCGATACGGATTACAGTCTGCCTAACAATTTATTGAACATTCTTTTCATAAAGGAATCAATTGTGTTTTTGTACACGAAAATCTCACAATACTTTTTATAAATTTGATTACAAACTGGTTCTATTAAAAGCAGTTGAACAAGTATAAGTCAACAGGATTATAATAATTTTCTAGAGTTTAAATAGATAGTACACTAAAGTATTTTCAATTAAGTAACTAAGGAAGTTTTAATTATATATAGATTGTGTTAAATAGTTATTACATAATAAATGAAACAGTGATAAATACTTACTAGTCAAGGACGCAGATATTCAATTTTTTTTAATTCGTAAAATTAGGATTCTTATGACAAACATTCCATATGCTAGTACTTATTGTGTGGAAACACAATTTGCGGCGGGTTGCGACTTCTGCGGGCCAACACACTGAAATTTATTACTAAAATTATTTATTTATTTTTGTCGCAAATATGTATCTTAAATACAAACCATTTTAAGAAACTTACAAATTACATCTCAATAATTTATATATTAATTTGTTCTGATCGATTTATCATTCCATATATACCATATTGTTGGCAGATATAACAGAATTTCGTTTCTCAATATTTATCAATTAACGAAGAGTTAATTTTTGAATAAATAATTACAACGAATAAATTATCGAAATTGCTTAATCACATAAAACCAATTAACATTTAAATTCTCAGATCTCTCCGCCTCATTTAAAATTGGTATAATGAAATCAATATGCAAATAAAGAAGTAAAGAATCTGAATTCTGAATCACAAAATTGTTAGTTTACTTCAGAGATGTACGATATGTCGGAGATCCTTTGTTTAAAACAAAAAAGCATTCGTAACGCGTGTTCACGAACAACTTCCACGGTGAAGTAATATGATCGTGTAATCAAAAATAGAATAAATAGATAAATTTATGTTATTACTAGCTGACCCGGCAGACTTCGTAGTGGCTTAATCGCTAATTAAAAGACACAAACAAAAGGAATCCGTCTGACGGAGAGACATAAAGGGAAAACAAAATTGTTATTTTTATTTGATTCCGAGTTTTCATATTTATCTACCTTTTTTTATTTTTATTTTATTGCTTAGATGTCTGGACGAGCTCCTAGCCCACCTGGTGTTAAGTGGTTACCGGAGTCCATAGACATCTACAACGTAAATGCGCCACACACCTTGAGATATAGTTCTAAGGTCTCAGTATAGTCACAACGGCTGCCCCACCCTTCAAACCGAAACGCATTTCTGCTTCACGGCAGAAATAGGCGGGGCGGTGGTACCTACCCGTGCGGACTCACAAGAGTTCCTACCACCAGTAATTACGCAAATTATAATTTTGCGGGTTTGATTTTTATTGCACGATGTTATTCCTTCACCGTGGAAGTCAATCGTGAACATTTACTGAGTACGTATTTCATTAGAAAAATTGGTACCCGCCTGCGGGATTCGAACGCCGGTGCATCGCTCGATACGAATACACCGGACGTCTTATCCTTTAGGCCACGACGACTTTTAAACCTTCTCTGGAATCCCACAAATAATTCAAGACCAAAATTAGCCTAATCGGTTCAGCCGTTCTCGAGTTTTAGCGAGACTAACGAACAGCAATTCATTTTTATAATATATACCTAATAGATTACTGGTAGAGCGTACTGCAAGCACGCACGGACAGTTACCACAATTCTGTTTGTTTCTACCGCGAAGCTCTGCGTTCCGGTTTGAAACTTGAGACAGCTATTAGACAATTTGAGACCTAGATTTCATGTCTCAAGGTGGGTTAACCACCTAACAGCATGTGATTCGTGGAGTTATTAAAACAAATTTCACCTCTTCTGCATAATTCGGGATTTATAAAAACATAAATTCTAAGCCCACCATCCCTCATATCTAATTTACACAAATGTATTTGAATTAGATACTACAACAAATTATTTATTAAATAAACAATGATTGTTTTGTTTACTCGGGATATGGATTGTTTACATTCGTTAATAAGTTGTATAATATAAACATAATATTTGTTCTATAATATACCTATGTGATATTAGTGCTTATTAGCAATGATGAAAGACAATAACCAGGGCGTTGCCAGACAGACAAATTAATCTCCGATCTCACAGCTCGTTGCCAAGAAATAATTATTGTACGAACTAACACGTTACTTGATCGGTGTTTATCGCAGTTTAGCTTCAACGTTGAATAAATGACAGTTCCAAACATTCGGTCGTAATTTGTCATTTTTTTTCCTACCTAAGCTGATAGCCTTGAGAGGCTATTTCAGCGTAACCTTAACTAGTAGGTGAGCTCACGGGGCTCAAACCGGAGTGATGCTAACACTGACCCTAGCAAGAGCAGTGCTTCGCAGAATCTACCACCGGATCGGAAACGCGACCTACTGAGAAGATCCGGCTAGAAACTCAGTGGGCTGTGCCTAAGGGTTAATTCGATCGTCGAGCCCTTCATCGCAAGTGACGGATTCGACGAGGACGGTGACCGGAGCATTTGTCACGATAATTTGCGAATGACAATGAAATTCGGCTACTAAATTTCCATCTGCGGCCCGAATTAATACAGCCATGAATATTTAAACAATTCATTCAAACATGTCGGCCTTTATTGGGCACAGTGATCGAACCGTTAATTTTATTACTTTGCCGCGATACCCGTACCTCGATCGTTCAACTAATAAAACTTGTCCTATCGGTTAGCTCGTGTGTTTACAACGCTGTCAAGAGCAAACATAATAATGCGTTTAATTATGTTGATACGACTTCGGTTCGCGGTGAATCTGCGAATAAAATTAATGTGTATTTAAACGGAAAATACGAGCGAGGCCAATAATTAAACACGAGCGGTTCGGTGCCTCCGCGCCTGTTTATCATTTCGCTGGGCCGCTTGCAACGTTGTTTATCATGTTAATTCCATTTGTTGCTCTCGGAGAGGCTTATCAACTAATTATAAACGTTATTATTAAATTTAATCATCGGAACGTGGAAACGTTTTCGACTATCTATGTATTTGCATGTAAAATAATATCGCAATCGGTCATTGGATATTTCGTTTTTATTGCCAGCATTAAAATTTTATGTTAAGCGTATTCAAAAATGTCAATTGCCATATTTAAATAACACATTCGTAATATTGTAGCGCTATAATATTGTAATCTGTTTTTGATTATTACTGTATAATTTGATAGCGTCACCGTGACCTTTGTACAGAGTTTGAGCGATAACCGCGTTTCTTGCACGTTTCCATTAATTGCTTTATTTTGTTTGTTGCAGACAGAGATAGCGAAAAGGTTAAATGCGATAATAGCACAAATATTACCCTTCCTGTCGCAAGAGCATCAGCAGCAAGTGGCCTCTGCAGTCGAGAGGGCGAAACAGGTCACCATGACTGAACTCAATGCTATTATTGGCGTAAGTCTACCTTTCATTGTTTAATAATATCAATAAGTAGGAACCAAGGATATTCTGGACAATAGGAAGAGGAGTCTGATAAAAATAATTATATACGTTTAAACATTAAACCCAGACATCAAGAGCAAAAACTGTTCATCCCACGAACAATTGCCTAACATGGGAATCGAACCCACGACCCCCAGCTATAAGATCATGCCCGCTAATTCTAAGCTATTGCATCGGCGACTCAGTCAATCAGTTCATCTCTTTGTTTTATAGGTGTATACGTGGATGTCTCAACTGTACTGATTTTGTTTCGTTTGAAATTGCCATAATTACAAAGGCTATGAAATAAAACCCCAAATCATATAATCACAATATAACAAACTCTGTAATCTTAATTTTTGCGGCTTAAAATAATGATATCATAATATAAATAACACAGCATTAACGTCAAATCGTTCGGACTAAGCGGATCGCATGTAAAATTCTGAGTAAGAAAATTCATTTAGTCAAAACGTGTTTAATATTTCACGCGAAAGCTATTTAAACAACATGTGTCTTGTTTGTTCAGCAGTGGGCTCGTTTTAAATGTGGCGTGCAATGTTTAGCAACGCTAATGAATGTAATCCATTACAACTCGGAAGATATACAACGAAAAGATATATATAGAAAAAAAGGATTGTGTGGTTTTATGAAACCACGGTAAAAATGAAACTTTCTTTCACATTATAGACATTTAACCCTGACAAACAACATTTACATTAAACACTGACAAAAACAAACAAAATAGCGTGGAGCACTGGCACAAATGAGTAATAGTCTAAACACTACACGGTCAGCTGCTGCGAACTATAGGCGTCGCCATATTGGCCTTGGCTGCTCTGACGAGCGCCTTTCACTTTATCCCTATTCCGCGGCCGACCGTCACGCGACATGCAACACACAGACGAAAAAGTTTGAGACGATGTAATAAAAGTTTATTTGCCGCATCTTATTTAATACGATTTATACTTGTATCTCGTTTAATGATCACGCCGCGTGTACGTTTCTTTAAATTAATTAATTCAGTTCAAATGTAAACATATAATTTAATCACTAGGTAACATGATACTCATGACAGACGCATATTTGAATTACAGATTATTTTTCATCTAACTTTTTACCAAAACATAGTTTACTTTAGAATAATAATAATAACACAAGTAACTTAATAATATGGTCATCTGATCCCCCAAACTGTCCCTGTACTGGTCTCTGTACTAAGAGACCGATAAACAAATTTATATACCTTTAAATATGTACATTTATACAGATATTAAACCGGCAGCAAAATAGCAAACAAAACTGCTAATCACAAAAATGTTTGCCCTATCTGATCACCACTGAGTTATTCCGATTTGCGGTCAGTTTAATTGAGTGATTTATAAATTACTAGCGCACCTGATAGACGTTGTCCTGTGAATGCATACACAACAAATCATTTGAATTGGTCCAGCCGCTTAGGAGGACTTCAGCGACAGACATACACACGTACAGTAGAATTATATAAAAAAAAAAATGATTTTTTGTCTAAAACTTTGCTCTATATCTATACTGGATCTCAAGCCTAACACCAAAGCGAATAATACACGGGTGTGTGGCATCTGTCCAAACGTTTCGCGATACCTCGTCACCGGGCTGTCATTGCTCAGTAATTCGACTGTAGCTCGATTACCAAACAATTGGAAGGTCGACGCTCTTCTCAATTATTAGTCAAGCGTCAACAAACACAACTATGCAATACACGTGCCTAACCTATAACATTCTTTTATATTCGAATAACACCATTACGGATAGTTTCGAAATAATGTACCTACATAATTTAAACAAATTTGTTTGCTACAAGCTGTCGCTTCTTCTGACGTACGATGTCAAGATAAAGAATGATCGGCATAAAAAATATATATATATTTAATTGGTGACATCGTTAATATCGCTTCGTTAAACGAATTTAAAATGAAAATACTTATACGAAACGAGCAGTGGTACGTGTAAAGTGAGTTGATTCTCTAAAAGCGCGGCTTTCAACAGGTCGCAAGTTCGACGGTCGTTAATTAAACGATCTAAGCCGCTCAAGACGGGTCGGTTGGCTTCCAGCCAAAGACGAACTATCGATAAAATTGCTACAAACTACGACCATTATAGAAAATTATTTTATTATTCTAGCGTCTGGCACGTTCGCTACGAATTAGCGTGTTTGTATAATTCGAATCGTTTTTTTTTGAAATGAGCGTGGCTGAAAAACATATCAGTTCGCATCATTTATTATTGTGTGACATCACTCATTTTCTATCTCACAAAAAATGCTCGAACCGACAACGAAAAATGATTCGTCCTCGAATTGCGTTTCTCTAAATCATTTCACAATACTCTAATTGTATTTTTCATGCGGCAAGTGTCGTGAGGACTTCATTGCAAGCATTATTTCAATAGGCTCATTCGCAGTCCGGTGCCAAGTTGTTAGTGTGACCCATTCTCGCGATGTGTTAACGTTACCGCGTTCGGAATCCGTGAATAGGTGTGTACCGGTGACGAAAATAAATCACTTTAAAGATAATGAGGACAAAAATAAAGCGTTGGAAGTCACTCGTCGCTCATCTGTCTGCGGCTTATAGTCTCTCTCGAGTACCGTGAAGAACTGGCTGCCGGCCAACTCGATCACCGTCCCATCTACTATGTTGCTGTTTTCACATTCCGTTGTATTGACTCCGCATCAAAATTATTTGTCCCGTTCATTTGACATAAGATATTCGTTCTGAATTTATATTTAAATCTTTTTAGTTTTTAAGTAGTATAGATTTTACGACGCAACAATTTGAGCTCTAATTTCATGTCTTCATGGTTTATTGACAGAATCAATCTTAAGTATACCTTCTGAATAATATGGAAAACGGGAAACACTCCGCAACCTAAAGTACTAAGAGGGCCGTCGCCCTCAGCCGAGAGGATTTACGCACATGTGCGGATATAGCTCACTGAGCAGCCTTCGAGACACCGGCAAAACGTAATATCGACCTCCCCCTATAAAACACTCTAATTTAAATAAAAAAAACGGCGCCACCTTCCGTATGTCGGTCCTTTTTTATTACGAACCTTTTTTTATTTTCGGGTCAGCTCGGGATCAAAGGGGCTCTCCCCTGAGAGTGGCCGCCCGCGCTGCTACTCCTGTCTCCATCTGATTTGAGACGATTTTGTCGCCGATTTGTGAACAGAGAGCATTCGTCAATTGGGGAAAATTTTGGGAATCTATTAAAAATCACTTAAGTATTTTTGTATATCGTTTCGTATATTCATAAACGATATTTATAAAAGAAATATAAATTAAAATCAGTAAACAATACAAATTATTATTATCATAACCCAACTTCGGTGCTATAAAGTACATAAAGTTTCGGTTCGATGAACTAACAGCGCATTAAAGCAGTGCGAGTCGAAAACTCGAGAGGGATAGATAACGCGAAGTATCATGCCATTGTATTCGAGCAATGTGCGTAAAGTTGTCTACGGAGCGATGCGACGGGGAGGAAAGGGAATGAAACGTTGTCATCGCAACAATATCGGCGGGTAAATCATTTCTCGTTCTGATTTTATTCCGCGCCGTCGATTCCGAGGGTGGCGCCCGACCTCAGAAGGTAATAGCTTCCAGATACCGACTCCCTCTCGTGTTCACCTATACACGAATGTTCGCATTGAAACAATATTCACGTAACTCGTACTGATCGATAAGAACGTGCGACCTCGCATGCGGATACACGGACCGATTCCGATTAATCTCATTCAGACACTTTCTTAGTAATTGAAAAGTAAAAACGTCGATACGAGTGCGCGAAATACAAGCGTAAAATGTAAGTTTATACAACATTATCTTTACAGATAGGTAATCGAACATGTGCGCGCGTGTAAATATACCCGTATCTGTTTCCCCGTCGATCGCTTTATAAACAAGTGAGTCGTGAAACATTTCTATCTAGTTTACGTCGGGTTTCGCGCCCTCTGATAAAAATTACGAGGAGAATAAATCGGGGCGGCGTGGGGCCGGGGCGCGTCGAGTAACATGAATTTGTCATTTCTTCCCGGGCACGTTCACGGCCGGTGATAAATATTGCATCGCAGGCCGCCGTATCTCGCGCGGATACCAAGAGCCGCATTAACTTTTCCCCTGTCGCTTAGTTGAAGCTTCTTGTTTTTCGACGCCCCGGACTGAGTTAGGGGCCGCTCTTTCGTCACTTCCAATCAAATTATGTAATCAGTTTACGGCTCATCCGGCCCGAGAATTTTTCCTTTCATCTTAAACATTTTTCTATTGAATTACATTGTAAGCATAAATATACTTATTATTATGAGAAGAATAGAATGTCGTCGGAGCATTTCTTTCATCGTCTTATTTTGTTTTACGATCCACGTTTCTATTGTCGTAAGCATTAGATTTATGAATCGTATTTTTATAACTTCAAAGAATCGATAAACTCGTATCAAAGCAAAACAACGAATCTGTTTCCTTCAAACATAACGGCAGATCGGTTGGCATCGTACATTGTTTTATATAAAACGGGAGCGGAGTCGTAATGTGCGATTAGAAGCAATTACGCTGAAAGTGTAACATGTGTTGGCATCGCATGTTGAGTCGAAGGCTTCCCGGCTAATGGTGCGTGCGACCCTCGCTCCGAACCGCCGCGATAAACTACCCTCATCCTAGCTTATGTCGTTTTATAACCGACGTTCACGGAAAACGACTTCGTTCGCCTATAAATGTAAACAATTATTATTTTCGATGGCCACGTTCGTGTAATAATGCGGCGTGTTTGTTTTGCTATGGAATTCTTTCGCGATTACGTAATGAAGGTGTATTCAAAATTCTATTTGATGAGCACGGGCTTAGTTGAAACGGCTCGCTCATTGATAAACAGATAAATCACTATCTTTTCAATCCAGTCTATAGTTCTGGTTCTGATTTCGTAGCAAACATAAATTATAAA